ACCCGGGGGGGCGGCGGGGCGGGGGTGCTCCCGAGAGGCTCCCTCGTCCGTGAGATGCTCCACCGCTTGTGGGATGCTCCGTCGCTCACGGGAGCCTCCATCTCTCGAGAGATGCTCCACCACTTGTGAGACACTGCGCTGCTCGTGGAACAACGCTCCGTCACTCGTGAGATGCTCCATCTCTCAGGAGACAACACTTCATCACTTGTGAGATGCTGCACCACTTGTGAAACAACGCTCCGTTACTCATGAGATGCTCCATCACTCAGGAGACAATGCTCCACCACCCCTGAGACAACAGTCCATTGCTCTTGAGATGCTCCACCACTTATGAAACAATGTTTCATCACTTGTGAGATGCTCCACCACTTGTGAGACACTGCACTGCTTGTGGAACAACGCTCCATCATTCATGAGATGCTCCATCTCTCAGGAGACAACACTTCATCACGTGTGAGATGCTGCACCACTTGTGAAACAACGCTCCGTTACTCATGAGATGCTCCATCACTCAGGAGACAATGCTCCACCACTTGTGAGGTGCTCTACCACCCCTGAGACAACACTCCATCGCTCTTGAGATGCTCCACCACTTATGAAACAACGTTTCATCACTTGTGAGATGCTGCACCACTTGTGAAACGCTCCATCACTAATGAGATGCTTCATCGCTCAGGGGACAACACTTCATCACTTGTGAGACACTGCACTGCTTGTGAAACAGCATTCTGCCACTCGTGAGATGCTCCATCACTCAGGAGACAACGCTTCATCACTTGTGAGACGCTGCACCTCTTGTGAAACAACGCTCTGTCACTCGTGAGATGCTTCATCACTCAGAAGACAATGTTCCATCACCTGTGAGGTGCTCTACCACCCCTGAGACAACACTCCGTCGTTCTTGTGATGCTTCACCACTTGTGAGACACTCCACCACTTATGAAACAATGTTTCATCACTTGTGAGACAACACTTCATCACTTGTGAGATGCTACACCACTTGTGAAACAACGCTCTGTCACTCATGAGATGCTCCATCACTCAGGAGACAACGCTTCATCACTTGTGAGGTGCTCTACCACCCGTGAGACAACACTCCATCACTCTTGAGATGCTCCATCACTTGTGAGATGCTCCACCACTTGTGAGACACTGCACTGCTTGTGGAACAACGCTCCATCATTCATGAGATGCTCCATCTCTCAGGAGACAACACTTCATCACGTGTGAGATGCTGCACCACTTGTGAAACAACGCTCTGTCACTCATGACATGCTCCATCACTCAGGAGACAATGCTCCACCACTTGTGAGGTGCTCTACCACCCCTGAGACAACACTCCATCGCTCTTGAGATGCTCCACCACTTATGAAACAACGTTTCATCACTTGTGAGATGCTGCACCACTTGTGAAACGCTCCATCACTAATGAGATGCTTCATCGCTCAGGGGACAACACTTCATCACTTGTGAGACACTGCACTGCTTGTGAAACAGCATTCTGCCACTCGTGAGATGCTCCATCACTCAGGAGACAACACTTCATCACTTGTGAGACGCTGCACCTCTTGTGAAACAACGCTCTGTCACTCGTGAGATGCTTCATCACTCAGAAGACAATGTTCCATCACCTGTGAGGTGCTCTACCACCCCTGAGACAACACTCCGTCGTTCTTGTGATGCTTCACCACTTGTGAGACACTCCACCACTTATGAAACAATGTTTCATCACTTGTGAGACAACACTTCATCACTTGTGAGACGCTGCACCTCTTGTGAAACAACGCTCTGTCACTCATGAGATGCTCCATCACTCAGGAGACAACGCTTCATCACTTGTGAGGTGCTCTACCACCCGTGAGACAACACTCCATCACTCTTGAGATGCTCCATCACTTGTGAGATGCTCCACCACTTGTGAGACAATACTCTGTCACTCATGAGATGCTCCATCACTCGCAACAGACTCCATCTCCCGTGAAATGCTCCACCACCTGTGAGACGCTCCACCACCTGTGAGGTGCTGCACCACTTGTGAAATGACGCTCTGTCACGGTTGAGGTGCTCCACCACTCGTGCAATAACACTGCATCAACTCGTGAGTTGCTCCATCGCTCACAAGACGCTCCACCACTCCTCACAGGCAGCTCCCCGGTCACCGTGGGGAAGGAACAAGGGGCTACGTGGCTCTGCCAAGGGGCAGCATGCTTGGGGTGCTGGGATGCAGTTTGTGGAGCAGCTGGTGGATCCAGCCGGTGGTTCCTGGCCTCCTGCCGCCCGGGGGATGGCAGGGCCGGCTCTGGGCACTGACGTACGTTTGTGACGATGTGAGCAATAACAAAGTTCTTCATCTGGCCGCCCGCAGCTCTGGCTGTACCGCCCCTGCGGGGAGGGGTATGGCCCTCGCCGGTCCCCTGGGGGCCGTGGGAAGCGCCGGCTCCTGTGCTGCGCAGAGAGGAGCCGCAGACACCGCTGGGACTGCAGACCAGGCATGACCACGCTTGGCATGGGGCTCCGGCTCCCGCTGCGCCGGAGCGCCAGCTTCACCCCCGACCACCCTGCCCTCATGGAGGTGCCTGGCCCCACCGCCCTGAAGGTGGAAGCAAACGTCCTCGTTATGGGAGCGGACAACGTGGGGAAATCAGGTAAGAACCGCCCGTGAGCTGGGAGCAGGGGGTTCCCGGGCAGAGAGAGACCTGCTTCTCTCCACAAAAAAGAGCTGAAACCTCTGCAGCAGGGTTTGGAGAAGAAGCTGCAGAGAGCAAGCTGGTGAGATGGGGCTGAGCTTTCGGGTGTGGTGGTGGCCAAGGTGGGGAGGCCAAGCACAACCTTGCAGGCAGTGGGAGAGCAATGGGGGAAGGTTATTTTCGGCTGAGCTGGGCTTTTGCTGATGCTCTCCTTCGTGCTGTGCCTCCACTCCGCTCCCAGACGCACCGGGGGCTGGGAGAAAACCCGAGGTCGCTCCTGCTAGTGGGAGTTTGCAGGGGGAGGGAGCCTGACTCTGCTCTGGATTTTAAAAGGAAAATCCTTCAGGTTTAGGGTTGTTCTGATGATCCTCGTTCTCCTCTCTGCAGCTCTGACTGTGCGTTTCCTCACTCGGCGCTTTATCGGGGAGTACGGAGACATGGGTGAGTGTTGGGCCATGGGGTCAGGAGGTGACACTGCTTCTGCCCGGAGGGTTTCCTTGCTTCCCATCCTCTCCCGTCTTTCTCCAGAGGCTTCGCCTGCTCCTGGGGGGCTTGATGGTTGTATTTGTTCAGTGACCCATCTCTTTCCTCTAGAACTGCTTCTCTGGGTGTGAAAAGTCCTGAGTGGCAGCTGGTGGCACCAGTGTGCCTGGACCGCATGCTGGGGTGGAGGCAGGCTGGGGCAGTCACAGCCCTGGAGGTCACCATGCTCTGCGTGGTTGTTACTGTACAAAAAGAGCCCCTGGACCTTGCCTTGTAGAGCACGGTCTCCCAGGGTGGACGTGACAGGCTTGTCCCCAGGAGAGGAAGACCTGGGTTGAGGGAGCTATCTCTTGGGTCCATGAAGACCAATGAGATCTTCGTTCTCATTTTTTTTGGCAGAATTCATCTACAGCCACAACCTGACCGTGGATGGCCGAGAGATTCTCTTCCATATCTGGGACGTCCCCAATTCCCAGGTAAGAAGGCTCCGCTCCCATCAACCCATTTTCAGCCCGGGGAGAAAAAAACCCTTTACTAAAACTTAGAGAGGAAGAAGCATAACCTGGGAGCTCCAGCTGAGCACAGCTCTTGTGTCAGATGGTTTTTAGGTGACCAACCTACAAACCTGCAGAGCACAGGGCAGCAGCATCGCTGGCAGGGTGGGAGTAGCCATCGAAGCCCATGGTCCTCTGGCTGAAGGTGTTGGGGCTGAAGCATTAACATTATCAGCCCAGACTGAGCACAGGGTGGTGCTAACGACGTGGAAGTGCTGCTCTGAGGTTGCCACGCAGTTATCAGCTACAGCCTGCAGTGCTTGCCAGCTGGGTGATGAAGTGAGGGCAGTGATACTGAACCCAGATCACATCCCCGTGGTGAACTCTGCCAGGTCCCGCTCTGCCTTCATCTGTACTCCTCTTCCTCTCTGCCCTTCCACTGCTGCTCACTAGCCAGCCCTGTCCCTATGGGCTCAGGATCGCTATGCCCTGTGGTAGGAGGTGTGGAGGGAGGGACCGGGGTAAAGAAACCTTCCTTTTCTCTTTCCCTAGGAGCATGCAGAGGAGGGCTCCTCGGAGGAGAAGCGAATCCAGTGGGCAGACAGCTTTGTCCTGGTCTACAGCATCTGTGACCGTGCCAGCTTCAACATCCTGCCTCTCAAAATCCAGTTCATCAAGGCGGCCAAGGAGGGGCAGAATCAGGAGAAGGTGCCCATCGTGATTGTGGGCAACAAACGGGACCTGCACCACCAACGAGTGGTGTCCAGCGAGGAGGGCCGGCTCCTGGCCCTCTCTTTAGACTGTGGTTTCTACGAGGTCTCTGCAGCTGAGGCTTATCATGGGGCCCTCATGGTCTTCCACGGACTGGCCGAGCGCATCCCTGACACCAAACTGGCGCTGAAAAAGGGTACGGGGATTCGTGGCATCGTCAAGACCGTGTCGGCCGTGTTTGCCCGTAAGCGAACGGACTCCCTCTGACCTATGGCATGGGTGTTGCTTCTCTCTGTGCTGCCCGGCTGGACCAAGCCTCCTCCCTGCGTGCCCGTGGAGATGGTGTGTGTGTTTCCCTATGTACGATGGGTCCTTCTCACGTTGGGGTCTGGGTGTCCTGCCACACACAGACAGTGCTGTGGACTGTAGTGCCTTCCTCTTGGCTCCATGATGGGACAGAATCTCTACTCTTTGCTGTGCCAGCTTTTTAGGTGCCTCCTGCTTTCTCCTTCCATCCTCCAACACTGGAAACCACCAGGTGATTTTGCCACCGCTCCAGGCAGCATCATCCCCAGCTCCTTCAGCAGGAGCTGCCTGTGCTGGTGGTGAGCAGGGAGGACATGCTGCTTCTGCCTGGCTGCCTGGCTCCTCATCCTTCTGCTCCTACCCTGGCATCCTTATTCCTGTTGAACACTCATCAGGGTCCTCTCTGGTAACCCTGGAGCATCTGTGAGCTGACAAGGTGGGGGTCTCTCTGCCAGGTTCCCACATGTGGATCACCATGTCTGAGTGTCCCGGAGCCCAAGGCACTGGCCAACCCTGGAAAACCTTGGTGAGGGCTGACACCTCCCATCCCACCCACCTTGCTTTAGAACCATTGTGTCCCTGGTCCTTTCTCCTACAGCTTCCAGCGATTGCAGCTGTTTCCCTTGTCCAAGCATGGGAAAAACCAGGCGTGTGGCTCGTTCCCAGGATGGGGAATCGCACCATACGCCTTCCCGAGCCACTCCTTCCGTAAGGCTGCCTGTCCCGGGGGAGGGAGGGAGGTGGGAAAAGGGGTTGTCGGGCTCATCACTGAACCCTTCTGCTGCTGGGAGGTTTGTCTCTGCCTCTCCCCAGACCCTTCCCCTGGTGTGCCTGGGAAAGCAGCGTGTTGGAAGAGGGTTTGTGTGCAGCACGGACCCTGATTTCTCTGCTGTGTTCTTCTGGAAATGCAATAAATTGTCTTTGGCAGGAAGCCCTTGGCTCCTTGGGGCTGTGAATTTGTACTTGAGGCATGGGAGAAGACACGTACTGTGCTGGGCATGAGCACCCGTTGTCCCTGCAGCAGTGACCCAAGGATGAGTGTCCCATTCCCGCTCCCTCAGCCCTGGGTTGGGTACCTCACCCCACTCTGGTCCCTTGTTTTGGTGGCTTCCTCTCACAAAGCAGCCGGGGCACGCAGCAGGTCGGGAAGGTTTATTATTGCAGCAGATACAACGAGGTGTTGCAGGAAGCCAGGCGGTCCTGTGGGAGCAAGGGGCTCCAGGAGCTCCACCCGTTGTCACCCGTCTTCTTCCTAACCCCACCATCTGTCTTACCATCATCTGGGGGTGGGTGCCCAGGGCTTTCCAACTTACGAGTCCTGCTGGTCAGTGGGAACCCCCAGCTCCACCAGAGGAGAAATCTGTGGCCAGGGATGGGTTCTGTGGGGTGGGACCAAGGGAGGAAGGATGGGGAACGAGGCTTGCTATGGTGATGTTTGATGGCTTTGCTGTCCTCCCTGTTCTGTCTCAGAGCTGTTCTCAACTTGTAGCCCAAGTCCACGGTATCTACTCAGCAGGGACCAGAGTAGCCCAGTGCAAGGTGTGGCTGGTCCCCTTTTCTCTTTTCTGGTCTCACTGCTCTTTCTGCATCTCCTTTACCTCTCTGGTCCCCTCTGGTCCCACCTGCCCCTACCTTCTCCTTCCACTAATAGGGCTTTTCATTGCCTTTATTCCCCGATCCTGGCCCCAATGCGCTCCAGAAGAAGACATCCCAAGGATGGCATGTCTACTGCTTTGAGCTCCTGTCCCAGTACAGGGGTGCGTGCGGGTGGCTGGCGGGGACCCAGGCAAAGCGTGCTGGGGCGGGGGGGTTAGAAGGGGTTGGGATGCACTCGTCCTCCCCCCTGGCTCAGTCCTTCTTGAAGGCAGGGCTGTAGAGGTTGGTGTAGTAGGCCCGGCTGTACATGGCCTCGGGGCTGAAGCGGTAGGAGCCCTCGCTCACCCGCCTGTTGTAGGGGGAGAAGGCGGATTTCCGTGGGAGGGGGCATTCGGGCTCGAAGGCAGGGCCGCGGTACAGGTTATGCCGCAGGAAGAGGGGGTCCTCGAGCCCCAGGAAGGAGAGGGGGTGATGGCCGCGGTACAGCCGCCAGTCGCCCCTCAGCTGGGATTTCTCCTCGGCGGAAGGGGCAGGAGGCTTGGTGTCCTCCTCCTTCTGCTCCGTCTCCGGGTTGGGCTTGTTGCCCCCGGCTGCCTCCTCTTCCTTCGCTGACTGCCTGCGGAGCTGAGAGAGGGGGTGAGCACCTGGCCATCCTGTACCCACCTGCCAGCCCCTCAAAACTGGGAGGACCTCAGGACAAGCCATTTTGCCCACAGAGGGGTCCCCAGTGGAGGGGATTGGGTGGCTGCAGCCCCCAGGCACCTGTGGTGGAGAGGTGGTTCCAAGGGAGTAGTGGGGTGAGGGAAAGGAGAGCCTGAACTCCCACCTTTCACCATGCCCTAGCTTGGGCATGAACCCTGTGAAGATACCACCACTGGCTGACCCGCTGGCTCTATGGGGAGGACTCACCATCATGGCTGGGGGGATGCCCAGGAGGAGGGTGGGACTGAGGTCTCCCAACAGCACCCCATGTCCCCACTCTGGTGCCTCCTGGCAATGCCTGGCACTATGGGGTGCTCATGGGAGGAGGGTGGGCAAAATGGGGTTTGCTTGGAGATGGATGGGACCTGGCTGGGGACAAACTCACCGGCACATAGCTGTACAGGGTGCCCAGCAGATGCTTGGGGGCACTGACAAGGGTACCCCCGAGCGCATCCACCGTCTCCATGGCCTTGGACAGCCTGCGGGGCGTGAAGAGGATCAACCCCTCCGCTGCATCCCAGGCCACCGCTGGGACCTTCTTCACGCTGGAGATGCCGGAGGCGCAGGCGCTTTGCAGGTTGTGAGCCACGCTGCCCACCAGCCCGGGGCCGTCCCCTGCCTGCTGAGAGAAACCATCTCAGCCATTGGCCCCATCCCACCAGCCCCACTGGACAGGACAGGGGTGGCCCTGGGCTCCCCATCCCCTCTACAACTCAAAGCCCAAGTGCTTTCAGCTGGCTGCTTTGCAAAAGCCACCGCAGCCCTTTGCAGCAGGGTCGCTCCCTCCAGCTCCCCCAACTCCTCCCAGGTCCCCGGGGACCCCCAGCCCTGGGCTGGGCTTCCGCTGCCGGCAGAGGCAAAGGGCAGCGACCCCGACCTGCTGCTTCCCGTCCCCACGTCCCAACGGAGCCGACGCTGGGGACCGTTCCCAGCCCCGCCAGATCACACCACCCCTCACTGCTGGGATCACGGGAGGTGGGATTTTTTAGAGTTGTTCAGCCTTGGGGGGGTCAGGGAAGGGGGCTGCTGGGGATGCCTCTGCCCCCCCACTAACCCATCTTCACCTCCTCCAAGCCACAGGTCCTGCCATGATTCAGCAAGGCTAGACCCCTTGTCCCCAAGAGTATGGGGGGAACATCCCTCATGCTGGGATGATCCATGGGCAGGAGAATGCTTTGGGGTGCCCCCAGCTCACTGCCCCCCCCTTTTCTCCATACCTCCTTGGTGTGGTGGTTGTCTTTCTTCCCTGCTTTCTCCTGCTTCTGCTCTGGCACCTTGCTCTGCCGCCGGCTCAGCCAGCCGGTGGTGGTGCTCTGCCCATCACCTTGGACCCGTGGCGCCTCAGGCACGCTCGGTTTGGCCAAGTTGCCCTGGAAGGAGAGCAAAAAGCCACTGCTGGTGGTGGGTTTGGCAGGTCCCGTCTGCCCCATCCTGCTTAGCTGGAGAATTTCATGGAGGCCCTGGAGTGTGCTGGCAGCAGAGGGGTTCATTTATGCACGTGGGAGGAAATCCCAAGGGTGGTGAGAAGCTCTGGGGTCTTGGCACAGGCCAGGGAAGGGGTTCCCACCACAGTGCTGAGTGGGAGAGGAGGAGACCTCCTTCTCCCCATCCTCTGTGGGCCTCTGGAGGGGCTTTTTGCTTTAGCGAGGATGTTATGGCAAGGCCGTAAATCAACAATATACATTGGGAACTGGCTAAAAATAACACTAACATGGTCCGAGGCTGTGTGTGAATGTGCCGCGGGAACTGCTGACCCCAACTTATTCCAGGGAGCAGGGGAAACCAACAGTGCCCACCACCCTGCGCTCAGATGTGCTCCAAGGAGTCTGGAATACGTCACCCGCAAGCAGAATCAGCCCAAAAGAAGGTATGAGGGAGCAGGAACACGGTGGACAGGTTTTGGCACTCACCAGGATGGGGATCCAGGTGGCCAGCTCCTGCCCTTTGGCTTTGGCACGCTGGAGGCTGTGGGTGGTTTGCTGGTAAGCACGGTGGGAGACAGTGCTAACCAAGGCGCCAATCCGGCCCAGGGTGCTGGGAGCACTGGGAGTGCTGGGAGCACTAGGAGCACTGGGAGCACTTGGAGCACTGGGCTGCTGCTGGGAGACCTTTACTGTTGACCCACGCTTCCCTTTGGGCTTCTGATCTAAAGGCAGAAGAGCACAGGCAGAAAAGCGGTGGGGGAGGTTATGTCCTGGTGGGACAACACTTCTAGGCAGCCCTGTACCAAAATCCAGGGGCTTCCTCTTGCCACATGCACCCCATGAGTGAGGTGCCACCCCATATACAGCCAGCCCTCCCCAGACACCTTCAGGTGGGATTTAGGCATCAATACTACCTGCTTCTTCATCCTCCTCTGGCAGCAGGTACTCCATCAGCTTCTCCAGCCCTCCCAGGGCCGTGTCAACCCCTGCAGCTGCCATCTGGGTCACTGAGTTCCTCCTCGTGTACTTTGCTGTTGTTTCTACAGTGTTCTTGGTGGCCTCGTAGCCCTCTGCCGCCAGCTCCATGATCTTATCCATGGAGTTCCCAATGGTGCTTTTGGCACTTTGGAGGGGGGTGGAGATGGTGCCCTTCAGTTCAGATGCGAGCTGCAGGTGGAAATGGAGAACAGTCCTGCTGGTGTGCTTGGGGTGGCATGGGACAGCCAGAAGGACCTTGGGGACCCCAGCCATGGTCATGAGGGCAGACAGCCCCAAGATAGGTGTAAGAGCTCTCTCCAGCCAGGAGAGCTGATGGTAGTTGACAGGGATGGGACATAGGATACTGTTGACCTATATTTGGGAGGGCTCCAACCATCCCCTAGGCTGCAGAAGCCCCTGAAGAAGCCCTCGCTTGGACATGCTGCACTGTTTCCCCCTGAGCAACCCATCACCATCCAGAAACAAGCCTAAGGGAGAAGTGCTGTGGGTTCTGCAGAGGGGCCAGGGGATCCCAGACTGTCCTGCCTGTGACTTACCTTGTCGACAGGGTACTGGAGGGCTGGGATCTTCTCCTCCAGGTGGTCCAAGCCTCGGCAAGCCAGGTTGTTAGCCACAGCAACTGTCTTGGACAAACGCATGGAGGAGAGTTGGTGAGAAAAGCTCCTGGGCTGTGCCAGGATGTCCCACACACTAGTGCCAGTGCTGTCCCACCAAGGGAAGCTATGGTGCCTCCCCCCACCATGTGTCCCCGGTGGATGGACTCACACTGAGGCTCCAGCCTGCGCACCACGGGCTCCACACTCCACATGGCCAAGGCGCTGGCACCCTGCACGCCCCGCTCGTAGACCTCACACACCGAGGCCATGAGCGGATGGGCCTCCTTGGTGCTGACATAGGTCTTCTGGAGGCTTTCGCAGGTCGAGCTCACCACCGGCAGCTGCAGGACCCTCTGCAGCACGTTCTCCTGTGGACAGCAGATGGGCATTAGTTAGCCAACAGCCCTTCCCTGAGGAACGCCCCATCGCCTGCACACCGGTGGCATTTGGTGTGTTGTAGTGACCACAGAGGACCTCAGCTCACGCTGGAGGAGCAGGGCATTTCTCAGACCCCATTGAGGGTCTCTCAGCTAGGTTGTGTGTGACACAGCTGTGGACAACCAGGCTGGTTGTTGCTGCTGAAGGAGCAGGGGCAGCCCAGGCAGTGTTGGAGGGGTGATGGCCCCCACTCCCCCCATCTCCCAACCCTGACTGTCCAGGCGTTCCCTGTCTTTCCACCCTGCTCTGCTGCTTCTTCCATCTGTCCCAGCCCTTGCTCCAGGCCTTGGACCAGCAAAGTCCATTTTGCCTATGTGGCATCTCTGTCCTGTCACCACTGTGACAAGCAAGGAACACAGACCTCAAAAAGGAGAAGGGGAGAGGAGCGGGTCTGTCCTTGATGGCACAAAGGGCTTTAGTAGGACCCATCGCTGGAAGAAGAGGACACCAGAGCTCTCCGAGGCAGCAAGGTACCACATCTCTGCACCCTGCTAGCATGGGTGACGTGGGATGCCAGTATAAACCAGCAAGGTGATAACTGTGTGCGCTGCCAGTGCCAGAGCACGGCTGGAGGAAGGTCCCTCAAAGCTGGGTAAGGATAAACCTGCAGCTCCAACTCCCCGCTCCTGCTCTCGCCCACCCAGCGAGGTGAGACAGCTGAGAGAGACACTGCAGCCCCAAGGTAGGAACGGGGCCAAAGTTGGCTCATCACAGCGGCCATGAGGGAAGCGCTCTTTGGGTTGCATGGGACAGAGCAGAAGAAAAAGCTGAGCTTTCCCCTGCTCCCCAGTGGGCGAGAGGCTGAGTTTGGCTTCTTGTCCCGCCTGTGACCACGACTGGACTGTGACTCTGTGTGTTTGATAAAAACTGTATTGTTTTGTGCTGTATTTGTGCTAATTTTGGCTTGTCGTGGAGCCAGCCCTCTCAAAGTCCTGCAGTTCAGCAGTCCCGGGGCTGCAGCTGCTGAGAGCAGCGCTGCATCCGTGGCAGCAGGAGGAGCAGGGGTTTGGGGTCCACAGTGGGGACACAGACAAAGGACAGGAGCCACCAGCAGGTATCACCCAGGGCTTGCCTTGCCCAGATTTAACTTTCCTGCTTCTGAACTATTTAATTCCAAGCACGCAGAAGGTTTGGCTTCTTGTCCCGCCTGTGACCACGACTGGACTGTGACTCTGTGTGTTTGATAAAAACTGTATTGTTTTGTGCTGTATTTGTGCTAATTTTGGCTTGTCGTGGAGCCAGCCCTCTCAAAGTCCTGCAGTTCAGCAGTACCGGGGCTGCAGCTGCTGAGAGCAGCGCTGCGTCCGGGGCAGCAGGAGGAGCCGGGGTTTGGGGTCCACAGTGGTGACACAGACAAAGGTCAGGAGCCGCCAGCAGGCATCACCCAGGGCTCGCCTTGCCCAGATTTAACTTTCCTGCTTCTGAACTATTTAATTCCAAGCACGCAGAAGGATTTATCCTTTCCCTGTGATGATGCTCTATACTATTGCAGGTAAAGACCCATATAAAGATAACAGGGGGACATTCGGGACACCCAGTGTGACTGGTATTCACCAGGCAGAGCTGGCACGAGCTACCCGGCGCCCTTGGCACACCTCTGCCCTCCCCTCTCTCCCTCTTCCCGCACCCACCTTGGCACTTCCATTTGGCAGAGACTGACTCCTCTTCGCCGTCATGGCCACGCGTCCACCTGCAAAGCCAAGTTGGGAGCCGCAGACCCCACTGCGAAGGCAGGGCTGGGCTGGGGGTCCCCCCACTCACTCCTGCACCCCCCCTTCCCCGGGCACGGCGGGTCCGGGACACACACCTCCCGTGGGTGCAATGGACATGGCATTGCCTAAGGCTTGACTTTTTACCAGTTAAGCTGTTAAAATAGTGACTCCACCCAGCCCTCCCCTCCTAGTGAGCCTTAACACCCAAAGATGCAAAGAATTGGTTGAGAGGCATCTAGTTTGGAAGAGCTACAGTAGAAGGCAGGATAAAGGCAGAGCTGTAAAGCAAACTTGAGCAACCAGGACACTAGTAGATGTGCACGGGGACTGGGGTGAGGGATGCAGGCTGAGATGAAGGTTGAGAAGAGGTAAGAAGGCAGGGCAGAAGCAGAGAGAGGAGCTGTGTGTAGGGATGTCCGTCCCTGCACAGCCACAGCTCCATGCAGGGGACAAAAGCATCGCAAAACACCCATCTCCACAGCTCCCGGCTGGGTGACACCCCAAAAGCACAGCTCCAGCTCCCACCCCCCGGCACAGACCCCCTTTTCTCAGCAGCAGATGAAATTCAGGAGATGTAAGGAGAGTGGGTGATCCCTGCTCTCACCCTCCTGGTCCCCGGAGCGCCCGGTGGGGACAAGCTACTCACCGAGGGACAGCCCGTCCCCAGCAGAGCAGGAGAAGAAGGTGGTGGCTGTGCTGTCCCTTCACAAAAGTCCTCTGAGAGTGATGCATGGTGCCCTGGCCACTACCACCACGAGGCCCCACCTCCCAGTTGCGCGGGCTTGGGAGCTGACGGGTTGTGTGGAAACTGGCCAAAGAGCTCCCTGAAGCCACCGTAATTTGGAACAGATGACGGCAGAAAATCCCCTGCCTTGTCTTCCCGGCAGAGCCCAGAAGCTGTGGCACAGCTGGGATCCACCGGGGTTTAATGCCACTCCACCAAAAGAAGATGAAGTCACCCTTGGACCTCACCACCTCAAAAGCAACAGATCATGAGAAGCCAGGGAGAAGGTGAAGGGACAGGCAGGGTTTGTTATGGACAATGGGAGGATGATCAGTGCAGAAGATAAAAACATTCCCGTATTTCTGTAGCCTGTGTTATCCCCTGTGGAGGACCAAGGTCCTATCCTGTTGGGAAACACAGACCAAAAACATAGTTTCTCTCCCCAGAAGGATTCACTAAGCACAAGGAGCAGAAGGCAGACATGGGGGACACATCCTGCACAAAACAATCTAATTTGGCCAGGTCTCCACAATTTCTAAGGGAATCCACCGAGGATTTTGGTGAGGAGGCTTTAAGCTGAGGGTCAGGGCAGACATTGTATTTGGAAAGCACTAGGCATTTAGAGTAGAGAGAAATGGAGGAAGAAATCAGGTTGGGAGTGATGTCTGGAAGGCACCTCATCCAATTCTTGATCAGAGCAAGGCTAACCTCAAAGCTAGATGAGGCTTCTCAAGGTCTCATCCAGTCAAGTCTCAAAAATCTCCAGGGACAAGATTCCCAACTCTATCTCCAGCGCTAACCACACTCATGATAAACCATTTTTTCCTTATATCCAACTGGAATTTCCTCGGTTGCAAGTCAAGTCTCAAAAATCTCCAGGGACAAGATCCCCATCTCTCTCTCCAGCACTAACCACACTCATGATAAACCATTTTTTCCTTATATCCAACTGGAATTTCCTCGGTTGCAATTTCTGCCTGCTGCCTCTCATCCTTGCTCTGTGCACCTCTGAACAGAGTTCCTGGTCGAGTCTGCGCTGGTATAGTATGTGCTCCATGCCCCTGAAGGTCTATGAAGCCTCTCTAAAGCTCCTAATGGTCCTCCGCTGGACTCTCTCCAGCTTGTCAACATCTCTCCTGTGCTGGTGGGGCCAAAACAGGACTGGGTCCCCCAAATATAGCCTCACAAGTACTGCACGGAGAGGAACAACTGCTCCCCTTGACCCACCAGTGATGCTCTCACTACTGCTACTCTTTGGTGGCCAGCCTGCCTTGCTGTGTGGGGGGCACCCTGCCAACTCACATCCTCATGAACAAATCTGTTTGCAGTACCGATTGAAAAGAAAGAAGATACCACCTATATGAAGCTGAGATGGGTTTTGGTTATTGACTACGGACATCAGGGATGAACCACACTCAAGCGATGAGGACAGGATGGTGGAAAGAAGACAAAGGCCAGAGGACAAAGCACTAACCATGGGGCTTGGTGCAGATGGGAGATCCAGGCAGCCTGCTGATACAAGGCTGCTGCGTGTCCTGGACCACCCAAAATGAGGCAGGGAGACCCTCAATGCGAGGCTCAGCATGAGGGGAAGCCCAAACAGCAGAGCCAAGTCCTCAAACACTCCCAGCTGCCCTGCACAGGACACGGAGGTGTGCACCCAACACAGCTCCATGGCTCCCAGCTCCTGGTTGTGCTCCTTCTCCATGGGAGTGGGAGACTTCCCAGGGATGAGGGAAAGCCATGGATGGGAGGAAGATACCCCCTTTCCACCCAGGGAGCCTGGAGTTTGCTTCCAGCGCGGGGCTCTGCAAAGCTCGCCGGGTACACACCAACCTCCTGGGCTGTCTCCAGCTGGCTGTTCGGGGTGAATCACTGCTCTCCAGACAGCGGGACAAAGGGCAGCAGCCTGCTCAAAACTCCCCTCTCTTGGCACCGAGACATTTTCCAGTGCAGGGAACATGCCAACCCTTCTCCCTGCCTTGGCTGGAGCTGGGATCAACAAGGCGGCACAGCCTTTGCCCGAATAACGCCTCCGCTCGTCTCCTCCCCTTCCTCCCTCCAGGGCAAAGGCTGTGCCAGCCCCGGGCTCTGCAGTGCAAAGGTACCCCCGCCTCCCCCCACTGCCTCCCCCCACCCGAGAAATGCTGTCTGTGCTCTGCAGGCACCGTTCAGAGCTCACCCGATCCCCCGGCTGCAGGAAAGTGGAGTTTTACACTCTTATCTCCGCAGTCTGACCCATAGCCACGGATATACCACGGTGAGGGGATGAGCCCGATGTCCAAAGACCAGTCTGGGAGGGGGCTGGAGAGGTAATTAATTAATTCCATGCCCTGTGGCAGGATCAGCACACCCTAAACCACTGCTGGCAGACATCTGTCCAGTCTCTTTTTAAGGGCTGCTTTCCTGGGCAAGCCATTTAGTCTTTTATTTTACTTACAGTTTAAGTTACCTGTGTGACTTTATTCTCCCTTGCTGCAATATAAAGGTATTACCTCCTGGATGGATTTAGAGACCAGTTTATTGCCTTCCTCTTGGCAGTTGACCTTTAGACACTTGGAAGACTTCTCACACCTTCCCCCAGTCACCTTTCCTCTACAGAACCAGTTTATTAGGTCGTTCCCTGGAGATGTTGGTTTTCCGACCTTTAATTGTTCCTGCTGTTCACCTGGGAATCCCAAATGGCTCAACATTTCTTGGAATATCACGCCAATTCATAAAATTCAGAGATGGGAGGGAGGATTCTTCCTTCAGCATCTCTTTACACCACCATCTAAGTCACACACACAGACACGGAGTCACGCTCATCTCACTTTATTGCTCGTGTTCAAACAGCTGTCCTTATTCCAACTGCTGTAGTAGAAACAGATACAAAAAAAAAGGCACTAAAAGGTTTTTCTCCATTTGACTGTGATCCTATGGCTTCAGTCACATTACATTAAGGTACATTAAAATTCTAGCCTCCAGCTGGGGAGCAGAAGGCAAGTATTAGTGCTTAACAACCAGTAAAGAGTTATTCCTGCATGCGCCAACCCACGCCATGTAGAATGGGGCAAGTAAGGCTGTCGCAGGCTGAAAATTCACTGCCCCATCTCCCAGGCTAAGCCTGTACTTGCTAATCCAAGGCAGCCCCTACAGGAGGAACATCAAAGCCTGGCCCGTGGCTTTGCACAGCGTTTGCCTGGCACAAGGCAAAAAAAACCACCTCTCCCTCAGCAGGGAGGTGCAGCTCCCCAAGGGCCACATCACCGCGTTAATCCACTCCCCTTCGCCTACGAGCTACCAGCAAAAGAGAGAAATCAGTTTGCAAACCAGTGGAAGAAGTATTTTGTATCCAAGAGCTCCCCAAAAGGATTTCAAAACACATTTTTTTTTGCAAGAAGATGAAATTCTGTAGACAAGAGGTGGCCAAACCTCCGCTGCCAGATCATCGAGACTCCTCTTCTGTCCTTACAGGGGTTGCTACACACAAGGGACAATGACCCAACCTGGCCAAGGGAGGGATGGGCTCCTCACTGCCAGGAGCTCAAAGGAGTAAAGAAACAAAAAAATTCCACTGTTAAAAAGGAAAGGAAGCCCTTGAAGACAACACAATCCCCATGTAATGCTCCATTATGGTCTGAACTGCCAGTATGCTCTACTTTTAATGGTATTTATTTCCATATTAAAAAGCAGAGCCCCTGCAGGCCACATTTGGTCTACAAACACGCTTAATTGCCCTCCCCAGCAACCTCTTTTTTTTTTTTTTTCAAACACCTCATTGGCAGGCTAACACTTCACATTCAAACTGGAAGTAATTCCAAGCCCAACCACAATGACTTCAGGTAAATGGGGCACTGCCTTAACGCCTACTCAATTCCAACAGCCTTTTAATAAAAGAGACCAGCACCTTTTAATTTCTTTTTTCAAATAGCATCAGAAATAATAAGAGAGTACCTTGGTCCAGGTTAGAGTAGTCTCTGTTCACATTTCCTGACACATTAAACAGAGTCCTTGCACCAGAAAGTCGCAGAACACACAGGCCTAACTCCGATGAAGAAAAATGATAATTTTATCTCCTTATATAGTGTGCAATTTTTTCTCAGACGGTGTCAGAACTGGTGCTCTGCGAAGTCAGGAGCAACAAAGACTGCGTGCCATGTCACTGTTAGACAGCTGGACACAGCACTTCTCCTTTCACACTGCTGGGCAACCATTCCCAGCGAGGTAAGTGATCAACAACAACGCAGTTGCAGGGCAAACGTAAGGCATTTTCAAATGGTAGAACCCATTCAACCAGCGAGGGAACACACAAAAATCTGTGTGGTCATGAGAGGGAAGGATAGGGAGGGCGAGACAGGAAAATGTAAACCATGAATGCCCAAATCCAGTAATAAGCTTTTCTTCTCACAGGGGATTCTGATATTATCACGACCAACTCCATTCCCTTCCCTCCAGGAGCTTACACAACTGGAAACACACCCTTGCAGTTTTTCTGACTCAACGAGCTCTGAGCCAGGCTTCTCTCCTTAACTGCAGGTTCCAAAGCTCCTCATTACACTGGAATTTTTCACAAAAAATCAGAAGAGCAAAACAAGCTCCTTATCACAATATGATTAATGGCAAATCGTTGCACTTGCAATCACAGGGGTTTGGGAGTTAAGGTGCATGTGTAATGGGAAATTCAGTGCTTGTGAGTGGTTCCAGGTTCACAGCTTTGGAAACCTGGTTTCCTACAAATCACAGCGTCATCAGCACCCAGACAAGCTTCTCCCACTCGCTGTCCTTCACCAAAACTCTCAGCTGTGGCCTGCTGGAGAAGTCAAGAGTCAGTGGTCAACAGTCCTTGGCTCACATTATCAAAGGGGAAGAAAGTGCTGATTTCCTGGGACACAAGTTGGGACTCGCTAGACTTCAGATCCAGCAGCACCTGCGCACGTTAGAGAGATCATCAGAAGGTCAGATCACACCACTCCTCAGTTCCCATCACATGGCATTCAAACCACTACCTCCAGATAAGAGGACCCATCAGTCCAAACCCATCAGAACACTCTTACTTGATTTCAGGCCGTTTTAACCACAGCCCCTAACTTGCCTGAGCCCACTATAGAAAATCCAACTGTAGGAACCCTTGATTGGTGAATTTCAGCTTTCCAGTGTAAACACAATTAGCTATGAGTCATACACTTATTACAGTTGTCTACGCAGCTATTTCACAACCCTGTATTACAATACTGGAACATCAATATTTCCTTATCTAGCAGCCATGTTCCAAGCCCCGTTTCTGTTTGTGAAATATTACTCTGCCTTCTCCCATCTCCACTCCATCAGGTAGTGTCTCATGGCACCAAACTCATCTGCAAAGACACAGGGAAAGGAAAAAGGGTAGAATTCACTTAATCAGAGGGCAAAATTAATCTTGAGGTTACTGTGAGACATGTTCATTTAAAAAGTGCCATACGAAGGATAAAAACCTATCAGGATCAAAGCTGTTGGCTCGCTGCATACCAGGCAGCTCCTTTTATGTCACTGCTTCAGCTTCAGATGTGGGCTTGCTAATGTGAGGATCCCCACCAGGGAAGAGAGGACACCACAGAAACCAATCACTCCTGGATTGGTCTTGTAGATCCCTAGAGTATCCAAAGGCCCTGAGAGATCACAGAGATTCTTCACCAAGTCCAGCAGCAAAGGAGGGTGGCTTTTCAGTATCTGAAACAGTAGGAGGAAAAAACCCTGCAAACTATCACATTTCACACAGTTTAGTTCCTCACTGTGTTTGTCCCAGAAGGAATTCTCCTTCGTCTTTTCTTCCTGTACAGCTTGTTCCACCCTCCAGGAGATCTCATACCAGTCCCTGGCTAGATTCATCAGGAGTGAAAAGTAGTAACACTTGGTAGCCCAATTCCTCCACTTTGGCTTGTCGATGTCAGGTTGGAGCCCAACGCTCTTCAGCCACAGGACCGCGTCGCAGACGAAGTAGAGGGCACGGGTCAGGTTGGAGGCTGTGAGGCAGAAGCGAGGAACCACATCTGGCAGCTGCGTGGTTCTTCTGGCTGCTACCAAGGCATGCACCATGTTGCCCAGTCGGAACACTGCAAGAAACCCCACAAAGGTTAGCACAGCCTGGCCTTTCCTGCAGAGACAGCCCTGGGCAGGACAACTCAGCACGTCACTGTCCTCGTGCACTTTTTAAAAACTTAGTGGGCTTTGGGCATTTCTATCATTAAGCATTTTCTTCTCATGGCATGAGAATCTATCACTAGCAAGGAAAGGGGTGTAACATCTCAGCTCTGTCCTGCACCAGCCCAGGACTTAACATGCAGATTTTATGAATAGCCAGGACTTGCAGCCTTCTCCTGCCACTCTGTTCTTGTGCCTGGGTGCCCTCTGGACCAATATCACCAACTGCTCTGAACGAGTCCGTGTCGGCAAAAACGTGACACAAACAGAGCCTCCAATTTCAGCTGTACACTGCACTGATTTCACCTGACTCTGTGGACAGATGTTACTGCACTAACCCCCCTGCAACTATCACCCACAACCTTCCTGAGCTCTGTGAAAGCTGGTGATTCACGTGCTGAGCACACTGAGACCCAAGTCCCTCCTCTGCCATGACTTTGTCAGAAGTACAAGTAGTTCCCTGTGAACAGGAACAGTATAACCCATTTCTTGCTATAATATACAGCAAGCCTGATTTCATCCGCTGCACAATTTTAAGTTTTGCCCCATGAATGTTAATACAATATAACGCAGAATACTTTTCATAACCTGCTGCTCTGCCACAGCGATAGATGTTGGCAGCACCCAAGCTTGGTGGGACTGCACGAGTCCTGAAGTTAGGCCTGATGTCTATTAGTGATTTGTTTGGCAGAAGCAAGAGGATTATGGCTATGCTGATAAACCGGTTGGCCTCTTTGCTGGAAATTACCCTACTCTGGAGCTAACTGGAATAATAAAACAAGTCCATGGAAACACATTAAATTAGAATATTTGCCTCATACATTGAAGTTGTTCCAGGATTGAGCAATTGATAAGTAGGTTTAAGATCAACCCGAGAGCAAGCAACACAACCACAGCAACAGCGTAGCCATAATGGATGCAAATGTGACAAAGAATGAAGTGATACAAACAGTTAGACTATGAGAAAAGAATAGAAGAGTATATGCTTTAGTGGAGTATAAACGCTGAAGGAAATTAATATGCGAAGTAGGATAGAAAAAGCCATACTGAAAGATGGTCCTTCAGGGGTGATTTTATCGGGATGGTGATCTTTAATGTTAGGCCACCTCAACCCGTTAGCTGGAAGGAAAAAGGAGCATGCAGTAAGCCAGCCTCGCATCCTAACTCTGTGGCCTGTCCCTGACCAGAGGTGACAACTTGATCTCTGCAGCAACAGCTGGCTGTTAACTTACTTCTCCAGTCCTCCCAGTGATAATTCAGATCGCCTGATCGGAGAGGAGGCTGAGAAAGTACTAAATGTACTGAGAAAGTACTTGGCCTTACCTTGGCAAGCCAAGGCGGGGATAAGGTCTGTTGACAGTTTTGTGGATACACAAAAAGAGGTTTTGTGGCTCAAGGTAAGTTAACTACAGAAAACACAAGGCCAGGAGCTGTTTTGCTGGAAAGAGCAAGTGAAGAAGGACTTATCCCTCTACACACCAGGTACTTACTTTTCCGGCCAGAGCTCATGCTAGATTCCAACTGCTTGAGTTTCATTACCAGCTTCTCTTTATCAGCCTTACGCTCTATTAAATAGCTAAGCAACATGCATGTGTACTGAGTGGCTCTGGAATGGAAAAAAAAATATACGAGGAAAAGGGTACACAGGTGAAACAAGGACAATCGGCAGGACCAGCAGGGCAGGGTTCAGCCCCCCAGCTGAAGGTCACCCCGGCGGTGCCAGGGCGAGTTATAGCCGGGGCAAGGGGCCACCAGCGCAGGTGGGGGAGGCTGCGGAGGGGCCCAGCGGCGAGACCAGCACGGCGGGAGCGGGGCCGGAGCTCGCCCCGGGGGGCACCGAGCAGCTCTCCCGCCTGAGGCGGGGGGCACCACACCGGGCCCCATCACCCAGAGGGGCGGCTGGGCCCAGTGGGGGGGGTCCCCCCCAAGCGCTGGCACGGAGGGGCGGCCGCTCGGCCCCCCGCACTCACCGGAACAGCTGGTCGCGGCCCTGGCTGCGGTTGGTGAAGTCCACGAAGCCCTCCATGGCGGCGGCGGTGGGACCGGCAGCAGCCGCGGGAGGTGAGCGGGGGCCGCGGCCGCTCCGCCCCGCTCCAACCCGGGCCCCGCCCCGCCCCCGGAACCTTCCGCTCCGGGACGCGTTCCCGGCCGGGCCGCCCCCGCGACGCGCCGTTGCCCTGGCGACCGGCAGCCGCGGGGCGGGGGTCCCCGCTAAAAGCTCCCCCCCGGCGGCGGCGGCCCTGGTAACCGCCGACAGCGGCTCGGTGAGTCGAGAGCCGCCCGGCCCGGCCCCTCGGCTCCCGGTACCCGGCTCCCGCTCCCAGGTTAGGCCGCTGTGCGGGGTGACAGTGGCGGCGGAGGTGGGCCCGGCCCCGGCGCAGGGCGGGGGGAGCTCATTATGGCTCAACGAAGTTGGTAACTTCCAGTGAAATCACCCACTTTCCACATTAATCGTTGGGATTCCACCCAGGCCGGATGAGCCTTTTAATGAAGAACAAGATAGTATTTTTTGAACACTTTGTCATCATTCTTATACTCGTGGCAAAGCTTTAACGCTCCCTTTTTCTGTAGAACCCCCTCTTTCTGTGTGGCTGATATTGCCAGGGCAGGACAAAACCCTTGGGCTGTGTATAACAGGGCTGCTCTGGCTATCCGTACTGAAAAGAACCCCCCTTCCCTCTTAGAGATCATTAATCATCTTTTTCTTTCCCCCCCACCGTTACCTCATGAAAGTAGATATCACACGATTCTTCGTTCTTCTGCATCTGCTGTGATTCCTGCATCTGTGGTGGGTTTTGCACCTGGGAGGGCAGAACCATGGCTGCGTATCTCCGGAAGCATCCCCTGGAGATTCCTCCGCCATCTGAAAAGGACTGGCCCGAGGATGACGAGGAAGATTTCTTCCTGCAGGATCCTGATTGAAAGCGTGATGCTTTGCCTCAGCCCTTCAGGATGGCCAACAAGCTGGTGATGGCGGTTTTTGACAACGCTATGGAAATCATTGAAAGAAGGGAGATGCTCCGAGAAGCACAAAAACTCAAGATCCAGCCCACAAAATTATTCCCTTCAGCTGAATTCCAGGTACAGAGCTCCTCACAGCAGAGAGAGTGTTAATCACCGTAGCAGTTTTTCTAGACAATATCCATTCAGTAGATTTTACATTCTTCTGTTCATCACCTTCCTCAGACTCCACCACCATCTCACCGATTCGCTTCAGAAAGGTTGCAGCTCCTAAGCTTGTCTGACAGGTTCTGCTTCCCACCCATCTATCACACCTCTCTGAAAAGAGAGAAGCAGATATTAAACAGCCCTAAATTCACCTTCTGCTTCTCAGGCTGGCTCCACCCTTGTTTGTCAAGAAGAAGGTAATTAGTCAGTAGCATATAAATGGGCAAACTCAGCTCTGTGTTACAGTGAGTACCGAAATGGGAGTGTTGTCAGCAGAAGGGCAGAGGTGTTCGTTACATGGAAGTATCCAGGAGGAATCACAGGTGCCTGCTGGTGTTCTGCAGTTGCCCGGAGGAGCTCAGCATCCCCTCGCAGCTCGGCATTAGCAGGGCTGAGTGCGACTCAGTTCTTGGCCTTGAAAGCCCCTTCTGTCTATCAGAAGGGGAAGGTGGGAGCAAATTTTTCATTCCCAAGGCAGAACAATCTCTGTGACAGACATGAGAGCCCCTCCCTCTCTTGTTTGATGAAAGCTCATGTAAAAATTTTTCCTTTGTAAAAGTCAGCGTTTTCTCTGGTGACAGGCTAGGAGTATATCACCAGTTTGGCTGGTGTATCCTCCACTGGGGAAGCAGTTGGGTACACTCATCTTTTCCCTTTCTTGGTAGGTAACTGGAAGAGCCAATTGCCTTGTGGTGTCTGGAAAATACATCTTTGTTGGTCTGTCTGTGGGTCTGGCTGCCTTCAAGGTGTCTGACTGTAAGAAAGTCTGTGTTTGGGATGCAGTTGAGACGGAGATTTGTACCATCCATGCTTCGGATTTGGGGAACAACTGCCACGTCCTGCTTGCTGTGGATGAAATGGGTTAGTGTGACACGGATTTCTTTGACTCAGCTGGGGATGGCTGTGCTCTGGAGCTGCACTATGGAAGAGTGCTACATCAGGAGGAACCTTAGAATGGTTGACAGGTTTCCTAGAAAGCCCTGCAAAGAGGGCGTTAGATAACAGCTTGCAGGGTGGCAGAGTGGCCCTAGGGCCCTGTGATTAGTTGAGGGTGTGGGTTTGGTGTCCTCTCTGGAGCAGCAGAGGCAGGTGCAGAGCCGAGAGTGAAGTGCAGTAAATTTTAGGAACACCTTGGACCGGGCAGAAAGAACTATTGCTAGGTATGACCTCCTGCCCGTGCTTTGTCTCAGCACCTTTAATTGCATAGCCCTGTGGTAAATAGATTTTTTTGTTGATTCATCTGAAACCTACAAATTCTGGTGGAGATACTTTTCAAACTGGCCTATCCATCTGCTTGTACAATTGAGTGTTTGCTGGTGCTGGCATAAGGAAGCCAGCAAAAGTTTAGTGCTGGAAGCAGTGGGATATTCTTTCTAGAGCCCAGGAAAAGCTGTAGTCCCGTTCACCGTCCTGAACATGTTGTAACAGCCATCTCCTGAGAGCATAGCTACCATCTGTTTGCTTTTCTTCTCCTGTTACTTTTGTATTTCTATTCCAGGGCTCGTCTGGCTCTTCTGCTTTCACAAGGAAAGCTTCCTAGTCATTAAAATCCTAAATGAAACAGTAAGTACTGAGTTAATTCCATAGACGCTGGGCACAGGCTGGTAAGCAATCAATCATGAGGAGTACTAATTGCCCTCAGGAATTTCTGTCATGGGCAGCAGCACTCCAAGAGTGCTGCCCAATATTTATTCCTGTTCTTCCAAGAGTCTGTCTGGCCTTCACCCTGTTGAGAACTGTGTAAGTCCATGGAGCTCTCCGAATCTGTGATCTTGCTTTGATGCCAGCCCGTTTCTGTTTGGCAGGAGGATATCAGCAAGCACACTATGAGTGTGGAGGTGGTGCTCTCCCCGGGAGGTGATTACGCAGGAGTCCTGCTGCAAGGCAAGTGCAGGAACATGGTGTGTTGGGCGACGGCGGTTGAGTTCTAGCAGAAAGGCCAGCAGCAATGCTTTTAAAATGCTCCACGTGTTCCGGATTCCCAGTGATCCTGTTCCTAACCCTCCTAGTACCTCCTCCAGTTTAGAGAGTTGCTCCTGCCACTCCCTGTCCTCTCCAAAAGGCCTGGTGTTGATGAGTGCTGATCCCAAAAGTGAGCTGTCTGGAACTGGTCAGTGCAGTTCCCAGCTCCCAGGAGGCTCAGTGAAAGCAGGTTTTCCTCTCCTCTCCCGAAGTACCAACTCAGTTCTTCCTCTCCTTTGCTGTGGCTCATTTTTACACTGGAAAGATGCAGACCTGAAGAATTTTCTCTGCAGACATAAGCCAGACAGCATAGACACAGTCTCAAAACAGTACAGCAAAGTCCTTGCTGAAATGTTCTTCTGTTTTATGGCAGCTGTCTTGCTCAACATGTTTGCTGCTGGCAGGTTTTCTGGACCTGTGTTTGATGAAATCTGCCTGGACATATGCTGAGAATGAGATATGTAGCATCTGCAGAAAAACAGTGTGACCACAACTCACTTTCTACTTTACCTCAGGGGCTACAGGTCAAATTCTTTGACTGAGTCTCTTCATGGAATGTCTTTGGTGGATGTGGGACATCGAGGACTTGAGCTGAAGGCTGGGATGTCAGTCTCAGCCAAGCATGTCAAGCCTTAAGAGGGAGGAGAGGTGGGCTGCATGGAGTTCACATGGATTTTATATTAAAAAAATATATCCAAATCTTGTTTTAAGGATATAAGATAACAGAGGCTGCTTGCTTGAAAGACCTTTTCTCCTCATTTCTAATTGCTCAACGTGGTTTCCCAATGCAGACAACACAAAAGCTTGGCTGGAGATCTACCGATTGCCTAAGGATTCCTGGCTGAAGGAGATGGAAAAGAACGCAGGAGATGCAGAAGTTTGCACGGAGAGGAGGCCAAGCTGGTCATCTGTGGTACAAAACAGTTCTATCTCCCACTGTGCTGTTTTTTTTTCTTATACCCTTTTGCCTACAGGTCTTTCCCCAAGCCTTGCTCCAGCAGACAGCGACAGCATGATACAGGCTGAACAAGTCTGTCAGCCCAGAGGGATGGAGTATATGTCTCTACAGCTGCTACAGCTGCCCATCCCACATTTCACAAGGCCTTTTTGTTATTGGGACATGTTTGCTCTCCCAAGACAGGCTTTCTGACAAGGTTCCCTTGGTCCCAGGGCTAACATTCCTGCTGCCCCTCCCTGAAACTGCCAGCTCCTTTCCCAGCAGTATTGCCCCATCTGAGAAGGCCCTGTGTAAGGGTATTGCCACAGGGCTTCTCCCTAATGTTACTGGGGGAAGGTGAAAGAGTGGGAATTGGGCCTGATTCCTCCAGTTGGGAATCTGGTCCTGAACCAGGGGTTTGTGTTTTAGGCTACCTACAAGAGGAGCCGAACCCTCCTGAACAGGACAGGGTCTCTGTTTGCACAAATCACTGCCACTGGTTCTTTGGCAGAAAAGTCTGGAACTGCATGGAGACGGTTCTGCAGAGATTGTAACTTGCCTCAATGGATGTCCTGAGCTGTTACAGGGAATTTTAAATGCTGAGTCAATGCTTAAGTGACTCCTGCATCGCTTTCACCCTGCTAGATTTCACTTCTCAACACACAGGCACTTTCTGCCCAGCACCTCCAGCTAACCCTCTGTGATACCTTCCTCATACTGCTTCCCTTCTCCTTCAGCAGAGACTTTCCTGGCCGTTTGAGAGGGAGGTGTTTCTCAGCCCTGTCTTCAGGGCAAACAACCCCCTTAACTAAACTAAAAGCAAACACCCAGGCATTCCCTCTTTGCTGATTCCATGTAAACTACTCAAGTTCCTGTCTCTTCCTTCTCAGACATGGTTGATTATTGAGCCAGATCTTTTCTATTTAGCCAAAGATCAATGTTGTGGGGGGGGTGTGGTGGTGGTGGGCACACACGGGTGCTAGTGCCCTGGTAGAGTT